TAGAAGGAAGTAAAGCTCTCGAAAGCAAAGACAGTAAAGGAAAAAGTGACCTTGAGGTAAGAGAAAAACAGTAGAAAGATAATCTGTAGAAATAATCTGGAAAATGTTTAATAGTATGAATATTTTAGTGTTAAGAAATAAACGGCTAAAAATCTATTTGTAAAAAATGCCAAAAATAAGATTACCATACAGTTTGAATTACGTTTCTACATTATTATATATAATATATGAGCTGTAAACTTGGTTAAGCACTGTAGTTAACGGAACATGTTACTAGAAGCTTTACAAACCTTAATTACATAATAGCCCAGCGAGTGATGCTTCTAACCACATAGTATCATGAAAGAAATATTGTGTCTGAAAAATATGTTTACTTCAAATAGCAGTTGTATTGCCGGTTGAATTATTGTAAGATAAGTTGTTAATATCAAGAGTTGTATGCACTATTCACTGACAAGTCTGTTTTTACTCGCTAGCTACTAGCTTTTAAACGTTTTAAACAAATCTTAATCGAGTCTATAATATAAGTTATGTGTTACAGAAGCTATTTCCCTCTTCACCGTCCTGCTTGGCTGGAAAAACTGCGGTGAACATTTGGTTGGCTAAGGCGGAGAGCAAGAAGATGAATTGTGAAGTGAAAAACAAGCCGTTCAAAGAGGAGAGATGTGGAGTCTACAGAGGACCCGGGGGTGACGAAGACTTCTAAGTAAAACTTAGAACATTTCTTGACACACTATTATAAAATACATTTTACGAAATTTGTCAAGTGTGGACAGCCAAAAACGTGCTGATTGGATTAATTTTGGATTAAACCAGATGATGTTTTGTCCCTTTTTACCATGAACCTTGTGTTTAACCTTGAAGTTTTTCTACTTACCAACTATTGGCTCACAGGGACTAAAAGGCTAATGCAATTTTAATAAAATATATAGACATTTGTATATAAAATAATATGTTTAAAGCTAGGTATATAGGTTATAATGCTCACATGATATTTAAGGTGTAAGGTCCGATGCTGCAAAAAGTCACTATCCTTGTGATCGTTCAACACTGGACCATCCTTACAATTCCATCTCGGATAGTTGCAGATATAAACCAAGTGCAAGAAATGCTAATTGTTTACAATTGAGTGTTATTAAATTTATAAGGCAATACAGTGCGAACCAATGAACTGAATGACAAAGTTATTAGTCAAGAAAATGCACTGTTAGCTACTGCGATACGCCTGGAAAAGAGCAATGACGTCATGGTGCAAAGTACACCACAGACAACGCTCGTGCAGTCGTTGACCAGAATTCGTGTGCGTACGAAAGATTGTGCGACCAGGCAATACTGGTTAAATGTATGTGTATACTCGTGTAAAATGTGTCATGTGACTGTGTCATTTATTTATGACACATCTATTAGTGGACGTCTGAAGATGACACTGTGTTGACGAAACGCGTCACATAATTAGCAGCGAATAGGAAAACCAGAAGGTAACATAAATATTTATTATTTGACGTTCTAGTTACTACTAGAAAAAATTCAACTATAGTGTTAGGAGTCATAGCTCCTACTGGAAATGAATTCAAAAATTGTGTGTCTTTTACACATTTTTTATTACACTGTATATTATTTAATTTTATGTACTGTGTTGGAAAAGAAACACCGATATTGAATTTGGTAAATTAGTAAAAAAAATTAAACCAGCTATTTACTTAAAATAGTTTAAGTACTGCCTTTGTGGAATAGGACCGTAACAGAAAAATTACTTTCATAAAAAAGTTCGAAATTACTCTAAATATTCCAGTTATAATTAATTGAGTTAAGTAGCCTGAAATTAAGAAACGTTCAAAAGTTTTAATTAAAGAAATATCGAATTATAAAACTTATCCTTTGATAAAATATGCGCAGTGGGTTAGAAGTTAACAAACAATTGTCAAAGTTTGTGCTCCTTGAAATTAGTTGATCTCTTCCGACTTGGCAAATAATTAGACAAATACACTTTATTCGTGTCTAGCTATTAACTAAATACATTTTCAAAGGAAATCTAATCCCAAAAATCAAATAAGCACGTACTGGTGAAAACGCAACACTCAAACCATATTAAATTGATATTTAGAATCATGTGGTTCAATATTAAAATTTTAGTAGGTAACTAAAAAATTAGGTGTGCATTACTAACCATAGAGTTAGTTTCTCAAACAACGGCACGGGAGGGACGGGTTTTGTTCTTAACATTCAGAGTATCAAACGGTCTTTAAAGTAGGTATCTTTTTTATTTGTTAAAAAAGTACTCAGTACTAGGCACGATCCGAGATTGTTTTTCACATTACTTCAGGCTAGACCTAGAGGTTGCGGCATTATCACTTAGACAAGATCTATTGGTGATTTGGCTGGATTTGAACCCGGAATCTCAGGGACTGAAGTACCGTGCTCTAACCACTGGACTAGCTTGCTTCCCCTACCTTTAAATGTTGGATTACTTTTATCTTAAGGTGCTAGTGTAGACATTAAAATATACAATATTTGGGTAACCCTTCCATATGACTAAAATTACTTATACAATAGAATTCAACCCCATCACATAAAAAAAAATAGGTATACAAAATACAAACCAATTTATTGTATTGCGAAACAAATTCCCAAATTATTACTCATCGACTCTTGTCAAAAACGGTGGTTGAGGGGGTTGAGGCAACCAACAAATATTTAACTTCAATTAACGTTGCCCTCATTTGTTTAATCAAACCAAAACAAATACGCCGACCAATGTTGAATGGACGAGTTTAAATCCGTTTTCATAACAGTTTGGTTTTATAACTTTTTACCACAAAGTTTAAAATTTGGCTGCAATATAGTTTGATCAATATTCAATATCAATATCAATATATGCAATATAGCAACAAATATCAAAACGGTATGATCTTGATTCCTTTTAGTGTTCATTGCCATTATCATTTGAGATGGGGACGCCATCTATGTGCGGATTTTAACCTAAGAGTGAAGGATGAGTGTAGAATGGAGTGTGTTGCCTTGTGTAGCTTTGTTACTGACTAAGACCAGCTGATTCATCAGTCAGGATCATTTATTAAAAGCCCGATGATCAGGAACAGCTGAGTCCAGTTTTGAAACATCAAAAAGCTACTGACTTTTCTCAGGATTGAACTGGTGATATTTTGATTACTTGGGGAGCACTATAACCACTCAGCTACCCAGCTAAACTATTCCTAGGTATAGATGTTGCGTACAAGTTGTAGATACGATGCCACGTTTTACGATAGAAAGACATAAAGAAAACTTTTTCTTTTCTTTGGTGTTGAAGTTTTAACATGAGATGAAAAAACTTGTCATGCACCTCTCTTAGATAATTCAATAGATTTTTTGTGTAAATAGTGTTTCCTACAGTTATTACAGAGCATAGAAAAAAATAGTCTAAACACTAAACAACACGGTTTAGTATCCAAGCGTTGAACGAAATGGGATACACTGCAACAGCTGATCGTAGTCGTAGTATCTCTAAGTGTTGCCAACTTATTTTCAAACGTACACGGATTACGTGCCTGATAGAAGCACGCTGTTTTGTGTTGTTTGGTTGGAATACTGGAGAGTGGCAAAAGGAAGTAAAAGCAGCAATTAGCAACTTTCTGTACTATCATAAGTGCAAGGAAGCCCACTTTGTCAGGTGAGCGTAGGGAAAGATTTTTATTGAAATACAAAATTAAATAAATTAAATTAATATTTAAATTAATAGGTATGGTGAAGTATGGAATATTTTAGGGTTGTAGGAAATATTAAAAAAAAAATAAGACAATTTAGTCATAAAAGACATTAATTTTTTGTCTTGCTTATTCCTTACCTTAGTTAATGTTACGACCACAGATTCCCCTAAAGGAAACAATTTATGCCATTATAAAGGTTTATTCATTTTGTTAGAAAAATCTTAATCACATTGTTTATCTAATCAAAACAAAGAAACTATTTATAAACAAGAAACAGGTTTTGAGTGTGCAACTCTTATTTTACGAAAAAACCATCTTAACTTCCTGAAAAACCACCAACATTTTTTTAACCATAAATATTGACGTATATCTTTTTGTAAAACTAAAATAAACTTAAATGGTAATTTTTTTTATTTGAACTTGACTGTTAAAAGTAATACAACAATTTTCAGTAACGTATAACCCTGATGCTAAATAAATTGTTATAATTTTAAAACAATACATGCTAAGCGTTAGCCTATATATTTATTGTAAAAGTAGATCGAACATTTTAAATAAACCAACTTATACATCTACGAAAAACACCCTTACGTTTGAAATTTACAACTAAGTTTAAATTACGTTATGAAACTCATATTGTTTTAGTTAACACAGTTTTGGGAGCTAATACAGGGGTATGTTGTTGTTCCCTGTTTTTAATTTTGTTACCTCTACCTTTGTGAAAACCACGACTGGAAGTTAATAACATGGAGAATTGCTACTAGTAGTACGCTTATTCTGCGCGTATCGGGATGAGTGAACATCAGCGCAATAATGAAAGAGTCCACCCACACCTAGCATACTTACCGGTACACTGGTGAACACAATAATGTTATTTGTATGGGCAAATCAACCCATGAGTCGGGGCAAATAATGGTGAGTCGGTGGTTCAGTCGGTAGCGTCACGCGGACTTCGGGCCTAAGGCAGCAATGTCGTGGGTTCGGATCCTAGTCACTGCCACTAAATTTTATCAGTACAGTTCACCTTTGTACCGTACCGGCTCACCCCTTGCTTTGCTGTAAACGATCCACGCACGGGCGCTTAGTCTATGTGGACGGGCTAATGCAAGGTTAAAAGAGGCTGTCAACCTCTTAAAAAAACCAAATCTCAGTCAACAACAATCCTAACTTCTCGTCCATTAATTAACCAAAGTCATTGGTAATATACGTAATGTATTTCCTGTTTCCCTCTCTTCTCTTAGCATTTTATTATTGCAGATACATTGATCTAACTGTCACAAAGAGTTCCCACACTCTGGACTGTTCACCTTGACTACTTCCTTCACCACTTCCTACGTCGTGGACCTGTTTCCCTCTCTTCTCGTAGCATTTTATTATTGCAGATACATTAATCTAACTGTCACAAAGGGTTCCCACACTCCGGACTCCTCGCCTCGACTACTCCCTTCACCACTTCCTACGTCGTGGACCTGTTTCCTTCCCTTCCCATAGCATTTTTGAATTGCAGTTACACTAATCTAACTGTCACAAAGGGTTTCTACACTCCGGACTGCTCGCCTCGACTACTTCCATCACCGTTTCCTGCGTCGTGAACCTGTTTCCCTCCCTTCCCATAGCATTTTAGAATTGCAGTTACACTAATGTAACTGTCACAAAGGGTTTCTACACTCCAGAATGCTCGCCTCGACTACTTCCATTACCACTTCCTACGTCGTGGACCTGTTTCCCTCCCTTCCTACAGCATTTTAATATTGTAGTTACATTAAGCTAACTGTCACAAAGGGTTTCTACACTCCAGAATGCTCGCCTCGACTACTTCCATTACCACTTCCTACGTCGTGGACCTGTTTCCCTCCCTTCCCATAGCATTTTAGAATTGCAGTTACACTAATCTAACTGTCACAAAGGGTTTCTACACTCCAGGATGCTCGCCTCGACTACTTCCATTACTACTTCCTACGTCGTGGACCTGTTTCCCTCCCTTCCTACAGCATTTTAATATTGTAGTTACATTAAGCTAACTGTCACAAAGGGTTTCTACACTCCAGAATGCTCGCCTCGACTACTTCCATTACCACTTCCTACGTCGTGGACCTGTTTCCCTCCCTTCCCATAGCATTTTAGAATTGCAGT